TAACCATCCGTACTCCCACATGTCAGCCGACCAGTGGACAGAGATTTTCATGTACGGACAGCCGGACGTTGGTTTTTTTTGTGGAGCTTAACCACTTAGTGGAGTGCCGATTTATTAGACAAACTTCCTGAACTGCTAATCCATTAATCCGAAAGGCGTACCGATGAACGATATTCAGAAATTGATTATCATAACGTGAGCTCATAAGTTGTCCGGAACCGGTTTTTTCGGCGAATGGCGCGGCTCCCTTGTCCGTTGCCTACGGAGCCATTCGAGCAGATCTCTGCTCCATAGCATTTTCAGCACCGGCAGTGCATACATGCGTCTCGCGTCATTTTATGCTTGAAGCTTATCATAAAGCTTGTTTCATGGTGAGCCGGTTTATTGTACCCGAGTTCACGCGACATCGAAAATTTCGGTACCTGTGCAGGAGTAAGTGCACAGTTGCTCCGAAACTGGGTTTAACGACTTGTTTCACGATCCTTTGCTCGCACATGCCTATGGAGCGCATAGCGATCCAAACAGGACTTTCGCATACTGGTACTTCTTGCTTTGTGCTTGCCTCGATGACTTACAGCCGAGATGAGCAGATATTTTTTAAATCAGAACCTGCCTTGTGTTTGTTGCAGCGGGCAAATATAGAATAAATGGGGACGAATTGTGGAATTGTTGGAGATCGTGAACTTGCTTGTTACAGATGTTTACTTTTCTTAGTCGGGTAGATAAGCTGCATGCACGTGTCGTTGTCGAAAAGTAGCAAGAAGTCTCCGTCGGCTGGTCCCCAACGACAGATTTCTAAGTTTACTTTGAATAGTACATCGTTTCGCACTATTCTTGTTCTGACCGAGGTTCACAACTGACATAGTCGCTCTCAAGAAGTTTTTTCCGGTTGTATTGCTTGAAATAACGAATAACTCTTTGGGCCGATTTGAATTCTTCTGCTTTTTGGATCGCATAGCGGGGTGGCACGCGCACGACTTTCAGCCAAAAGGCTCTTCAGCCGTCTTCAGTCACGGATCGGTCGACTGGGCGTCGTCGCCCCACCGTCGTCGTGCGTTTCTTCCGCACGACTTCGGTTCACCGATCCGGCTCTGGTCTGAAGAGATCAGCTTTTTCGACCATCTTCGTTCCGGATACGTTGTCTTCCATCACCGCACCGCCGAGTCCCGTTGCGTCCGACGGCGGCGGCGGCATATCGTATTGTCGCGCCACTTGGCATGCGTCCTTAATTTAACTTAACACCGGCCGGCTGGCCGGCTTTTTGCCGTGTCGCGTCTCGGCTTGAACGGTTTCCGTCGTGCTTGGATGTGCATTTACGACGGCGAGAGGCCTGTGGCATCCTCATCAGTAGATCTGCGACCTCGACCGCCCTGAAACGCGGCCTCCTCGATGGCCATGGTCGACTATTTGTTTATTTGGAGCTCGTAACGATTTTCGGACACTGGTTTGACGGAAAATGACCCACGTTGACATTTTATCTACCTTTAAACACACTTTGCGCCACGTCATTAGAGTTACTTTACACCACTGTTGCAGTACGCGTCACTGTGTCCGGTTTTTTTGCGTGGCAGTCACAGTGTCCCTTGTGTATAAGTGCTGCCATCGTCTTTGT